GAAGGGGTGCCTGGGGGTGTGTGGCTGTGTGTGCGGGTGCACGACCAGAGCTGGTTTCCGGGGCGTGAACATCTCCCACAGGCGAGCGCCCCTGTATGGTCTCCCTGACTGTGTTCTTGCCCATGTGTCTCTGTGGGTGTGCATGGCACGTGTCCGCACGCATGTGTGGCTGCAGGCCCCTGGACGGATAGCCCTGTGCGTGTCTGCGCCGGGCAGAGGGCCTGGCCCGCGGAGAGGGGTGCGTTGGGGGCTGTCGCTCATGGCTGCACGACGAGGCCAGCGGTGCAGCTGGCTGTGTGCATCTGTTTTTCCCTGAGTCTGTACGTCTGAGAATGAGGGCAGGTGTTTCTAGAGACGGCAGTGTGTCCGCTGGCGGCGTCTGGGCAGGCGGGTCCCTGCACACGCCTGTCCCTCTCCGTGCATGTCCCCGTTCAGGCGTATTAGCACATACAGTCGTGTGCATGCCTTTGCATCCGTCCGACTGATCTGCAACTCAGGGCCTGGGGTGTTGGGGGAGGGGGCCTAGGAGGGGAGGACTCCAGGACTTGGGCCTGCGGAAGGGCAAGGCTGTGGGGGAGGGGTGGTCCTAATTGGACATCAAAGATGACACCCTCCCCTGCCTCCCCCCCATCAGGGAAGGGTCTCCTTGTTCGTAGCATCCTCCCATTAAATGTGTCCAAACCTCCGTGTCTGTGTCCTGCCAGTGGGGATGGGGTGGGGTGGGGAGGAGGAGGAATGACAATGTGGGGAGACAGGGTGGGGCTGGGTTGCCACCCTGCGCCCCAAGTGTCAGAGGCGCTTGACCGTTGTGCGTCTTCGCCTGGCACGTGTCCGGCTCTGGGCACCGGGTGAGTATGGAGGTCCTCCCCACCCCGAGGCTCCCATCAGCCTCTGCTTCTTGTCTCCATCAGTGTCTCCCTGGGCCTCTCCTTGGCCTTGGTCCGGGGGCGCTGGCTCCACCTGCCCGATGGGGGTGGTCCCTCTGGCCCTCAACTGTCCTGTCCAGCGCTTACCCTCCCCTCCTTCTCCACTTCCTGTGCCCCTGGAATGCGCTGCGGGGTGTGTGTGGTGTGTCCGAGCCTCCTGCCTGCCCTGCCCGACCCTTTCTGTGGCGGCCTGTCCTGTCCGGTCTGTGCGCCTTGCATCCCGCAGGAGTTGGGGGTCCGGGCCCCCCTGTGGCCTGTGGCCTGTGCGCCCTCCCTCCTCCCCCGTGTGTCCCAGGGAGGGGAAGTGTGTGCGCCCCTCCGCCTGGGGTTCTTGGGGGAGGGTTGTCTCTCTGCCTTGGGGCCCGGTCTGAATGTCCTGACCTTCCCTTCCCGGCCCTTGCAGATCGTATTGGGGTGCTCGGTATGTCGGCCTGTAGCGGGGGGCTGCGTGCCCCCTCCCGGGGCCCTCTCACCGCGGGGTCCCTGTCCTGGAAGTGGGCTCGGTCAGCGCGTCCCTGCACGCGGGGCTCGAGGCATCTTGTGTGCGTTGCGTGTCCCTCTCCCGCTCTCCCTCGCTCTGCACCTGCGCGGGAGGGCTCTGGAGGGAGAGGGGGTTAAGGGGGGG